TCGGCTGGGATAGACTCCAGCGACCCTAGTGAGGATGAAGGTGTAGAGATGATGGCTGGATGGATGATGGACATTTTCCACGGTATCCTGACGTTTTATAAACCAAACAATGACCCTGTCATTTCAGAAACCAATCCCGGTGAGATGATTGCTGCTTGCAGCCCTGAAGCCTGTGCTCTGTATTGAAGCGGATGCTGATGAGCCAGTCTGACAGCCAAACGTATGCGACTGTTATTCTCTTATATGACAAAGAAAAGCCTCAAATCGTCACAACTGAGAGGCAGTGAGTGTTTTGCATTTCCTTTAAAAAATAAATATAATTCTTAATGTTGGCAAACGAAGCTAAACACTTAGCTTCGTTTCTAAACAGTGCAGCCAGCAGAGAGCGCTAATGAGCTCATTTTAAACTGTTAACGTCCCCAACAGGACAAACAGCACTGTGGTGTTTGAATGAGGCTGAAAGCATCCTTCTACGGTTAGCTTTTTGTTTGTCTCAAAAATACAATACCTGACCTTTCCCTAAAGGAAACAGCAAATGATGACATCAGATCGATGAAACAGCGCCAAAACAGTAACATTACTACGAGCACAGTATTGTGACGTTAATGACTATCATGATTCAGAGCGGGACAACAACAGCTAACCCACCTACATTCATGCATGTGCTGCAGTTATACCTGCATATAATACATCTTCAGGAAGTGTCCGCATTCGGAGTTACTTACGTCAACTTTAGCCCACAGCTAACTTCCAGGAGGACAGGATATGTGAGCACCGAGCCTGAACAGGAACAGTTCAGTGACGCTTCGTAGTCTGTCGAGCAGGTGACATTGCACAAAGATGCAACTGCAGCAGAAAAGACAAAAAACGCAGTCAGATGTAGAAGCTGCATCTACGAATCGTAACCTTGGCGCTCTACGAATCTCTGCTCCCTGAAATGATCTCCTCAACACAGCAACACCTGCCCATTCAGAAAGGCCGTTTCTGGGAGAGCGTAGCCGAGGCTGCGACATCAGGACAACATACACAACAACGTACAGTAGGCTCACATCAAGTGCAATAAAACAGAGATCAGCTCTAGAAATCACGACAAGAGAAAGCAAAAACCAAACACACACTGATGAGATAAGCCGACTTACCACCATGAACACAGACAGCGAGGCCCCACAGCAGCACCAGGAGCACCGGTTTGAAAGCCATGGGGACGAGCCACCGCTATCAGCCGCTGGGCAGGCGGGAGGAAGCAGCTGGAACTAAATATAGAGACAGCCGTTGGAACTTAGCTTTGTGGTAAAAGAAAAAAAATGAAGAAAACAAAAATAAATTGCCTCGCTGTGGTCCGTTACTAAACGGTGCCAAAGGTTAGTGAAATGAGACGTCTAACGGATCCTACAGGATGAACAGCATCAGCTAGCAGGTCAACAGTCACACACATTAACTATAAATACATTCATAACAGAACATGAACACTCACTTCTTAGAATTAAAAGCAGATTAAACTAATGACAGAATATCTCTGAAACCAGCTAACGATTTAAAAAGCAGAACTTCCTTCATACTTTCAGTTCTCGTTGTTAATTAAGAGTCAACGATCTTACCTGTTTTTATTTTAAAATTCTCCGACTTAATGATGAACCAGTTCACGGAGTCACTGATGTACTGGCGTCTGTGTGAGAACAGCGAGTGGAACAGTGCTGAGGCTCACGGTGAGGCGTCATCACCAGTGGCGTGACTCAGGATGTGGTTTCAGACTATTTGAGTGGTGTCTGTGTGGTGCCTTCCCACCACATCCACATTACAGCTATGAATATGCAACAGATAGACACAGTGAAAAAGTCAACAGGAAATTATCAGTGGCAAATTATTCAGTCATCATGTTTGTGTCGCCTAATTTTAACAAAACAGACAAAAATAGACTCAGATCAGTTTAAAGTCGGCAGATGATGAGAGATGCTGAACGATAAGCAGCTGAACTAACCCTTCTCCAGACGGTTTGTGTTTTACTGGCTGTCACAAACGCACTAACGCTGCAAATCACCGCTTTGCTCAGATCATTTAGCATTTACTCAAACCACAACCAATACGTGCTTCAGGGCTGAACCAGCTCCAAGTTCTGCATCACAGACGTCTTCCTCAGACCCCACCACGCCTGTCGGTGTCAGCTCAGAGAACTGGGTCTGTACGGCTCGTAGCCTCTTTTAATTAACTAATTAACCTTCTGAAGCCCAAAACCTGAATGCAGGTTTGGGAAGCATGTTTTTTTTTTGAATCAGTGAAATCACACAATTAAACCTGAAACTGTAAAAGCAGAGAATCGCTTTGCGACAGACCCTGAACAGACCACTGGTGGTGTGCAGCTCCGTCAGGACAACGGACCAGTTCTGTGCTTAAAATCCCAATGTTTAAAAAAAAAAAAAAAGGCTAAACTAAACTGCACGCACCAGAACCGGTTGAACGTCTGCACTCCACGCTGCACTGGACCAGTCATGAGTCACGTGACGACACGTCTGTGAACATTCAGCTGAACTCAGCAGCGTTTACACACAGCCACGAGGACGCAGGGATGGAAACACATGAGGGACATCGTCAGCAACATAAAACACACGATTCATACAACAATGGCAGCATGGCTGGGTGTACAGCAGACACTCAGCGTGGGCAAATATCTTCTAAAGCTGTCATGCAGAATAGAGCAAAAATCTAAACATGTAGCTAAACACGTTTTCCTCAGTCACACTTTTGGGCACTTGGACACACACAGCCTGGAGGTTTCTGCTGATCGTTGTACAACATGAACCCTTTACCGTGTGTTTTTAATGATGTATAACAGAACGGTGTCTAAAGTTCTCTCGGTGGTGTGGTCTCCACAGAGATGCAGGACTTCAGGCTGCAGTAAACAACAGCTGCCAGTGAGCAAGAATCTGACAGATTAAAAATAATTACCGACGCTCACAGAACACATCAGCGGCTGCAAAGCACCTCTTTGCTCAAGATCTACTAAAAACACAACCGACACATGTTTCAGTACTGAAATGATTTAAGTGATCCAGCCGAGATGTTTTTTCACACCTTGTAAAGACCCTATCACACATTAGCAATAACAGGTAACCAGGGGTTTCCAGCAGCGCCTCTGAAGCTCGATGAGTCAGAAAGCTGCTGCAGAGCCCCTCAGTGCTCACTTTCACTTATCAATTAGCTCTGAAAGTCTTTAACTCATGCATTTTATGCTGGGGTACATGCTCGACGAGGAGATGAACCATCAGGACCATAATCCAGACGCACATCACTTTTCATACAAACTGTACGGCGGCACAACACATGACTTCTGTGCGACGGAAGGCCTTTGTGGAGTTCACATCACTGTGTGGGTGGAAGACAGCTCTAGTTTATCGTCACTGTAGCGGTATTAGTCAAAGCCAAATGTCAGTCTGTCACACAGCGTAGCTTTGGCCCATGTGAGCAGGTCATAGAACTACAACAACATAGAGTCACGGTCACAGGTACAGCCTATGAGCCATGTCTACTGCAGAGGAAACCAGACTATTATAGTTAAACTAAAAGAAAGGAGAAGGAGTTCAGCCAGGCAATATGAGGAACCTGCTGAGAAACCTTCAGCCCTGAGGCGTCACTCAGGATCATCAGGATGGAGTTCTGTTTACTGACTGATTCACCTTTCATTACAGAGAAGCAGCACAGCAGAACCGAGCCTGAAACACACTAAAGTATACATGCATGCAGCGAGGAAGACCCACCAGCAGGTCCACTGAGCTCAATAATTAATTAAAATACTGCAAGTATGGCCAAGTCCAATATCCAGACGGCAGGATGAGGGTTAAAAGCGTCACGATGAGCCAGTATGAAGGCAGCGTGGTGCACCAGAGGTCACGTTCTCCAGATGTAAGGGAACAGGCTGCTTCAGTAGAGATCACACCAACAACACATGTTTATGTAAATAAAAGAGGACCGTTCCCTCTAGTACTGTGAGCAACGTTCCAACAGGTTTTGGGTTGTTTTTATCTGTCAGCACCACTTCCCTGATAAACAACAGTGATGACCTCAGGTGGACACCAGACCCTGGTCCTTGGTGGACTTTATTACCTGTAGTATATATTACAGCACATGTGCTCTTAATACAAGTAGAATTACATCAACATGAACATATTTAGTTTGAAAGGAGGACAGTCCTCAGACTGGCGGACAGCAGCAGGAGCCAGAGGGGGGCCGGAGGACGGAGGTCTGAGCTGCTGCTGCAGCCTCTTGTACAGACACATCACAACCACTAGAGGTCACTGCTTAGGAGTTTTCTACCTGCTGAGCTCTCACTTTTTCTCATTTTAGAATTACAAATGACAGCAAAAACCTGTTTCTGTGGACTGAGCTTGTCTGAGAGAATTTGCAGAAACACAGCTTTTGGCCGTAATCAGTATGAGGTGACGACCAGGCAGACATCTAAACCGTCTGTAAACATCGCAGCAGGAAGGCCGTCCTCAGTTCTGTGGAGCTCTGCTGAATGATTAAACTGAACATGTTGTCTTCACTGAAGACGCTTTTGTTTGTGCGTTCTCTTCAGGTAGCATGCTGAGGATTCATTACTGGGCTACAGCAGCTGTGGTGTCACTTGTTCTCCAGTTCTACATGGAGACCAGGACCCCAGTTTAACACCATTTTTTGGAGTAATCATAATAATTGATTAGATTCATGCAGCACTTTCTAACTCAAGGAGTACCTGAAAGCGCCGACACTGTCCGTTATTCACTCACACATAATACTGTAAATGTGCACTAGTACACCTCAGGTCTTTTCTAGGCCTAATGTCAATCATTCAAGCCTTTTATTAAACTCTTCTGCTCATTTTCAAAGCAAGAGTAAATGTATAGAACTAAAATAAGCCCTGCTAAGCTCACCACCGTTACCCATCATGCTGCTGGTCCTTCTGACACCACGACATAACCTGACATGAGCTCTACCAGCCGCCTGAATGTCCTCAGGGCACAAAAACAAGCGGTCAGAGGTCCACCGTTCATCTGAGCAAAAAACGGTAAAAACAGGGAGAACTGTGAGATTGTCAGCTTTCCAGTGTTCAGTTTGTACCGTCGTATGACACCTTCAGGAAAATGGTCACAGAGAATCCTGAGCTTCTGAGATTTCATCAGCATCCCTTTACTCTACATGTGTCCTTCAAACACTCACTAACAACAGAAAGCTGAGCTCCACAGCAGCGATGAGCGAAGCAGAACCCATCAGATAAATGTGGCGTGGCTCAGAAATGGGTCCGACAGGAGAAGCTGCTGACAGCCTGAACCTGGTTGAATCGAACACATTCAGCTGTAGTTGCTCTGTTCTGATGGCACATGTTAGAACTTCTTATGCTGACAAGACATTCTGAGTTCCCTCGACTTCTAGTCATGGTTCTGCTGTTTCCGTAGACCGCAGCATAAATGAGCCCCCAGCGGGTCAAAATGTGACCAGAGCAAAAAATAAAGGGTCAAGTGTTGAAGTCTGAGCACATCCCACAGCTGTACAGCTGTGTCCTTTGCAGACAGTGGTTTCTACCCTCTTAAAGGCAGCAGCACTGGGAGGGAGCCACCACTGCTGCCTGGAATAACCACCAACACTTTGGCCAGAGTGGGTCAGTACTCCACACCTGATCTCATGCTGACTTCAAGAGCTGACACCTCACTGACTGTTTAGTGTATCTCATATACAGACGCAGTCATGCGCTGTTGATCATCAACGTTATTATTATTACTACTGGATGGAGCTGTGAGTGCCAGGTGATGCAGTCGTGCAACAGAATTGAACATTTTCAACATTTGATCCCGCTGTGGTCATGTGCAGCTTAAAAACATTTACTGAAGCTCAACAATATTAAGTGCTTTTCTTTTCAGTGGAAGGTACCCAAGTACACCTACTGACGTGCAGGCCTTAAATATAAATTAAACACTGTGGTTTTTACTTCACAACATTTATCTGACACCTCCAGCTACTGTACAAATTAGCAGTTTTGCACACAAAACATACAAAGAGCTTATTAAATCAGTTTTTAAAAAAAAATAAACTACCCAACAAGTTCTACAAATCCAGCTGAAACGGTCAGTCACCTGACAGGAAGCTCGAACCCACTGCGACGGCTCTGCAGAGCACCTGTCACAGCATTGCTCACTATTTCCAGACAGATCGAATCGGAGGAGGAAAATAATCAGCAGATTTCTACTGAATGAAAACAGTCCTTCAGCTGCAGTTTGAAACAGAACAACCAGCAAGTCGCAAAGGCTGTGATGTAGGACACTGACTTGCAGCACGTCTGACTGATGGTTCAGTGGTTGTGTTCACAGTTTTCAAACGCCGTGCTGTCCTCCTGATGGGACAGTCATGCTTTTGACAGCGTGTCATGTCTAATGCGCTGTTACATGTTTTAAACCTGTAACATGGTCAGTATCAAACTGCAGCTTGACTTCAAAACATTAGACTGCAAATCAAATCATGATATCTGCACTTACACACATTCCATCCAGGCTGCTAGGCCCTGATACGTACATACTTCTACTGTCAGTGCAGGACTTCTCCTGGAAAGCGAGCTTTCATAGTGTGCTGCTAGTGCTTTCACATAAAGTAAAGGATGAGAATATCTCCTCCACCTCTGCAAGCAGTGCAATTAAAACGGTGCGATGACAAACCTGCAGCAAGACCTTCAAAAGACCTGCTAACCATCCAGGAACAAAAACAATGGAAGATGTGAA